GTCATAAAGTTCAGTAAACAAATTGCTAATGTTTACTCACAATGCTAATGCTACCCTTACTCTCTGGCGCCCAAGAGGTGGAGGAGCCAAATGGCTGGCTCACTGCTGCCAACTAGTGGTCAGAGGCTGAACTACAACATAAAAATGAACGGCTGGCAGGAAAGTTTACATTTTAAACCTTAATAAAAAATCGATACAGGGCTTTAGACAATCGATACAGTATCGGGAAATGAAATATCGCGATATTTCAGTGTATCGATATTTTCTTACACCCCTAATAACCACACAGTGGTAAAAACATAGCAGCCGCTTGTCGCTTTTTCATATTGAATGAGTTTAACTTCAAAACCCTGTCAGTTGAATGAGTGCTGATGTTTATCCGGTAATTACATTCTGAAAGTTTCATTAAAGTCAATCTACTGGTTCTTGAGATATTTTGCTAACACGACACACAAACGCTATTGCTTTCAGACAATAAATATAAAAGGAATAAAGTAAAAACGATGGTTARTGTTACATGATGCTGGAAAAGAAGCTTTTTGTCTGAACTGAGAAGAAAAATGCAGGATTTTAAAAATTAACTTTTTCTTGTTGTAACTTCTACAAACTTTGTTCTTTCAGAAAGTTGATGTCAGATTTATTGTTGTTCCTGCATGATTTATGAACCTCACAGCGCTCCGCTTTCACCTCAGACTGTCTGAACTTAGACAGGATCTTATCGCAGTCTAAACTTTATACTTTTACTCTACAGTTCAGAGACTGTTGTCTGGGGTTTAACGTATTACACTTTAATTACATAATTATTAGGATCCATTGAGGAATAATTCAGGGGCTCCTGAGACAAACACATAAAAAAATTAAATAATAAAATCTCAACTATAGTTGAAAAAAGTAGTGGAGAGTGAAGCACAGCCATGTTTTATTTAGATTTTACTYTTTAAATCAGTGTTAAAATATTCATTGCACTAATTAGCGCAGGAGAAAATATCAAATTAACATTACTTAACGTGTTAAAGCCAGTCTACAACCGCACACCTCAGCGACGTATGCAACCACTTGTGTTTGGATTTGGGGGGGGGCATATTTTCTCACCAGTGTTGCTGTTAAATTCTTCACTTTATAAAAGGGGCCCATCTCACACCGCTCCAACTCGCTCTCACCAACATCACACGCCAAATTCTAGATGTATTTCAACCAAACTTAATAAAACGTGTTGTTTAGTCTCAACTAAAGGTGTGTGTGTGTGTGTGTGTTTAAAAAAAGAAAAAGGAGTCAATTAGACGAGGAACTCTGTGGGGAAATTTGCATTGATCTTTGCTCCGGTGTTGAAATGTTTTTCCTAATAAATTATTTATTTGTTTCACCATTATTTAATCAAGGAGGTCAGCTGAGAGCACCTTTTTGTTTTTCCTCTGCCTTGCGGTGGATCATTAGAATGAATCATTTCATTAACTTATTATTCAGTCATGATTCCAACATAATTATTAATGTGAGGAAGTGATGCAAAATAAATCACTCTGGGCTCATTTCCTTTTGTTATTTTGACCCTTTTTTAAACCTTTTCGACCGAGGTTTTATAATGAGAAATGATGCAGTTGWAGCTGTTTTGGTCAAACCTTAAAAACGACATCATACATGATGTGTTTTGAGTTTTTGTGTCGACAAAGATTGATTCGCYGCGGCGGCCATCTTGAATTGGGTTGACTGCAGAAGTTAACAAGTTGTCGATCAAATGAAAGTTTCACTGAAATCCGTCRAGGAGWTCGTTAGAGATTTTGCTAACAGACAGTCCGAGTTGATGCCAGCAGTCATTGTCACAGTTTTAATCRGCTATTTGTTAATGTTTGTGATCACTCTCAGCTACTACCACGCCCAGTTTTAGCTCCGTATCTGTAAAACTGGTTGATTTACATTAATTGTGGTGTTTGGTAAAGTTGCTTAGCTGTGGTGGCTGTTTTGATCAGGTTTATTGCAGAAGTTAATCAGTTATTTGCTTTTGGTTTTCTTTTCTCAGATATTGAGATTGTTCAAGTTTGAGTTGTTTAAGGTTGTTTTTTAATAAAGGGCAGATATAAGATTTATTTTCATCTTTCTGCACTATTTTCATTATGTAACTGATTTACTTGTTTTTTAATGGACTTATTTGTTGTTTTGATTAAATAAATTTAAAAAATTTAAAAAACACCAGTAAAAAATTACATATATCCAATAGGGTGCACCAAAAAATCCATTCCTCAGAATCGTGATTCTCATTCACAGCGATTCAGCATCTATTTAAAATGTCCCAAAATCTATTTTCAGGGTTCCCACGGGTCCTTGAAATCCTAAAAAGTTTGTGAATTTGAAAAAAAAAATGATTTCAAGGCCCTGGAAAGTTTGTGAA